CTAGTAACATCCAAAACTTTTAATATCATCAGCAAATTGAAATAATCTACTAGCAGCATCTTCCTCACAACCAGTAACATCCAAAACTTTTAATATCATCAGCAAATAATCTATAAATAATCTATAGACCAAATTTCAGTTTTGAGCACAACATGAAGTCCCCCTGAACATGACTGAAGTTCGTGTCATACGTTTTTATACGGTTAAGAGAATTACAAACACGGACATTTTTCTCAACACTTTCGTGACACAAATCAAATATTCTTCTTCACATGCATGTTTAATAGTCGATGGTCTTGTTGCCTAACTTTTAAAAACAATTACTCCTAGAATTGATGTAGAGGATGTAAACTTGTTAATTATTCATACTAATCTAAACATCATCTTTTCCCTCAGATTTTGTGAAAATGAAAAAAAAAAATTAAGAGTATTTTCAAAAATCAAAGATATTTGTAAATTCACTGTTATCGCGTGCATATTTTATCTCATTACTTGTAAATTTTGTTTCAAATGTTAAACTTTTTAATCTCAATATTTTCTTAGACTAGTTGAAATGTGGCAAATGACAAAAACACCGAGTCCTGTATTTCTCTAAGCTCAATGGCATAACTAATGATTGTTATCGTGGGGGCATGTCCACCCAACTTTTGACTTCTTTGAATGGGGAATAGAGACTTGTATGTAATTATCAACTGTTTCAACTCTGATATCATTGGTTATAGTTAATATAACACTTTACTTGGCCCCAGTCATCAATGCAAGTTTGTTTTACCCCTTATGATTGTTATGTTGTATAAATACAGTAATATTTAGTATAGCACAATGCAAGATTTATTAACGTAGAAATAAATGTTTTGTGTGGGGGTTGTTAATCTTGTGAGTTGAATCTAAAAATAACAATTCTGGTAGAGATCTCATGTTTCTTTGGTGGAGAAATGTAAGTTTGGAAAACAAATATGTAGAATGATAATAAAAAACAAATCTTTACGTAGCGATCTGAAGTTTTCCAACATTCTGTTTAACATTTTATATTCTAGAATGAGTTTAAGAGGGCACATTTATCTATGATGGCTTAATTCTGACAGTTTGAGAAAACTGCAGATGAATAAACAAACACACTTTCTTCGACAAGGGATTTCTTCATTCAATGAGGAAGCTTGAACACCTTAATACCAGTAACTGATCTGTCTAAGCACGTGTGTCTGGTAAGTTGGTGCAATACAGTAGGCATGAAACAGCAGACTGTAATGTAGACGATCAGTAAAGGGTATAAAAAAAATTTTTTTTGATAAACACCTCATGATACTGGGTGAACGAAAACAAACAAAAGATACCACCAAAATAAACAAAAAAATCAAAAATCTGAATTAACTTAGCTTAGGTGCATTCTCAGCTTTATGCAGAGGGGTGTTCAACCATAGCAGTCTGGAGGTTTGGGAGCAAACTAGGCCATATAGCAGGACCTAGAGCAGTGCCACAATAGTGGGAGTCTTGGGGAAGAAGCCCCCTAAAACTACAGCATTTTAAACTTACTGAACAATGAAAAAGATGAAGAGTCCAGGTGGAGACATACAGAGAAGCTACAGCATTTCAAGCTTACTGAACGGTAAAAAAAGATGAAACTACAGCATTTAAACTTACTGAACAATGAAAAAGATGAAGAGTCCAGGTGGAGACATCCACAGAAGCTACAGCATTTCAAGCTTACTGAACGGTAAAAAAAGATGAAACTACAGCATTTTAAACTTACTGAACAATGAAAAAGATGAAGAGTCCAGGTGGAGACATCCACAGAAGCTACAGCATTTCAAGCTTACTGAACGGTAAAAAAGATGAAACTACAAGAACTTGAATTTATAGTTTATTTTATAGTTGAAAAAAAAACTATTCCCTTTTATATAAAACAAATATCTGAAAACTATATATATACCCCATTTTACAGCCTAGAGCATTTATGGAAGGAACAGAGTGCTGTGTATCTATCTACTTTGGGAGGATGTGTTACCTTCGTTGTGACACGAGGCAAGAGATCATCCATTACTTTTTATCCACAGTTGCAATTTGATAAATGAGTCACATATATTACATGATAACATTTTCTGTGTCTGTAGTTTATATGTATCAAATAATAAATAGATGCTCCTTTAACTTAACTTCACTAGTGCAGTATTTTCCAAACTTTAAATAGCGGTACCCCCTAACTCAGCAAAGTTTTTGTTGTGCCCCCTCACTTCACATTAAAATAATTTGGGCAAGTGGTAACAGCTAACTCAATATTTTCTTTACCTGCTTTTTATCAAAAAATGCTTATAAGAAGTGAGTAAATCCCAGATTAAAAAAAAAGGGTTTAAGAATGATAATTTAGTTATACTATTGTTATCTCCAACTGTTCCGTTGTTATTTTTGGGCACTCCCGCCGAAAGGCCGCACCCCCTAAGTGCACCCCACAGCTTGGAAGACACGGCAGTAGTGGTTATGTGTTGAAATGATGCACAAACTGAATTATCATGCATTGTACTTCTACTCACCAGGTGTCACTCCGTTTATTGAAGACAAATTCATTGATTTCAGGTTTTGGAATACCACCTTAGCTTATTGATATGGTAGGTTTTTAGAACTGGCTAAAATAAAAACTCTCCTCCCTCCAATTAAGGAGTTCTGTCTTCGCGTTTGTCAGCACACAGTCTAGGTAGCGTGGCGTCAAGCCTAATTTCGAACCACCAACCACAGGGAGGTAAACGCTCAGAAGTATCCTACTGCTGTTTTTTTTTTTTTTAAGAATAATTTTGTGGTATTTAAACGAAATTACCATAAGTTCAAAATCAAAGGTCAACGTTTCACAAAATTACTTACCACAAATTCAAAGACAAAGGTCAGCGTTTCCTTTGTATGTATGATGTCATGAAGAGTCACAATATTCGCGTGTTTTAAACCACGAAGTAGGGATGCTGTAACATAGGAAGAAAAACAAAAATACACACATTGTAATGTTTGAGTAAGAAAGCTCATTGTGCTAATATAATAATTATTTACAATGGAAGGTACTACATGTTTCAACAGAACATGGTCTGTCTTCATATTTTATAAACCTCAAAAAGGTGCATAGTTGTGTCAGTAGGTGGCGCAAGCAGCATTACCTAAAAAACAAACTTTCAAAAATTTGATTACATCGAAATAAGTCATTGTTATTTATTTACATTTGTACAAAAATATACACAACTAATAACTGATGACAAATACTCACACATATATGTTTAATTTTACTTTAAACAGTGTCCGTTCCCATAATCGAAAGAGCGCCCTCTGACCTTAACAGTAATAATCTTTAACTATAATATTTCAAAATCCACTCAAGAAAGAATTTTGTTTTTGAATTTCGCAAAAAAGCTACTCGAGGGCTATGTGCGTTAGCCGACTCTAATTTATCAGTGACAGACTAGAGGGAAAGCAGCTAGTCAACACCATCCACCACCAACGAATAGTACGATTGACTGTTATATTATACGGCTCTAAGGGCAATCATATTCAGTGATGGGATTTGAACCCGCGACTCACAGATTGCGAGTCGAGTTCCGGAACCACCAAAGGCAGGCAGCCTTCTGTTGAAAAAACAAAACAAAAAATATTTAACAACATCAATTTTACAGCGACGTTTGTTAATCAGTTAATATCACATAAACGTACAACAACGAAATAATAAGTTTCCTACTAACTTCTTATTGCTACTCACTCGATCCTGCCATTACAAGAAATTATAATATATAAATAAACATATAATTGATTATAAAAAATTAGTTTAATCATTCAATTTCACTTTGTGAGAGTTATGTTCCCGGTCTCGTGCTGTCCTTTAAACTATTTCCCCCAGCGTTGATTATACTCAAATCCATGGCCATTATTACGTACTGCCGACCAATGAAAGGGCTTTCTGCACAGGCTGAAGAGGTCAGTCTTGAAACAAACTTCACCCAGATCTTTCACTGGACATGCACGTCGAATCTGAAGACCAATGAAGACAACAAATGTCGATTTTCAGGTGTGGCTAATTAAATTCCGAACTTTTTATTGATTTGTGCGTCTCGTCAAGGGACATCAGGATATAGCTTAGCTTCAACGTAAATGAGGGTGATGAAACAGACTGGCTAGGGTTGTGGTTTCGGAAGTCGTTTTGTCCTAAATTCTACAGAGAACATTTGATACCAAAATTGCTTAACATCTTTATTAATAATCACCCAACCATAGCACCACCTGGCGGTATTGCACGATCCACAGTCGAGAATTCGCCACGAATCACGTATATAAGTACTTAACATGTCGACCGTGGCACCGCGGCTCCCATCTGCGGCGTCAAGTTACTGTATTAGCATATAGATAGATACAGTTCAAATAAGTACTTCTTTTTTTTTTTCAAAACAGAATTAATTTATGCTAATAAAGGACATGTGGACAAGCTACAGAGGAAAATGAAGCCCTTCTGTATTCTATTATTGCTCTTTAACCACAGCGCTCTTGCGTATGACTAAAGGTTTCGGTTTCTCGAATATAGGACCGTGATACAATTTGTTTGTTTCTAGTTAAGCACAAAGCTACACAATGGGCTATCTGTGCTGTGCCCACCACGGGTATCGAAACTCGGTTTCTAGTGTTGTAAATCCGCAGACATGCCACTGGGGGGCACCGTGCTACAGATGGGAAAACGTCATAATGTCCGAAGCGAACATATTTTTCTGACCTTTATTTTAGGAAACTTAACGCTAGTGGTGAAGGGCGCTGCCGGCACCTAAACAGATTAAATTGACATAACAGTTTGTATCTTGAGAGAACACTTTTTCTTTTATAAATATTGCCGGCACTTAGATTAAAAGTAACGCGACAATTTGGATCTTGAGAGGGCATATTTGTCTTGTAAAACATACCGCAGTCGCGAGGAGCGCTGCCGACACTTAAACAGATTAAAAGTAACTAATGAACAATAACATTCCTCACGATGTAACTAATCAACAATAACATTTCTCACGATGTAACTAATGAACAATAACATTTCTCACGATGTAACTAATGAACAATAACATTCCTCACGATGTAACTAATGAACAATAACATTCCTCACGATGTAACTAATCAACAATAACATTTCTCACGATGTAACTAATC